TTATCTTACTTCTTATATGGACTTACTCGAGTCAATAGATTAAAAGTTACAAATCTAGACACATCGAGATTGGTTAATTTTCTTTAGTATTCGTTCTGTTATTTTTTTTTGTTCGATTGTATGAGAATGCATATTTGCGTGTATATGCAATACGATTGGTAAATCAGACTTGTCAAAGATTAAATATCTTGTTCTGATCCTTAAGACTTAATAATTAAAGAGAAAATCTTTGCCAGAGACTGTTTGTAGTCTCATTTCCATATTGAATACAACTGACGACTTAAGACCTGTCCTGCCATCAACAGCAAATGTCTCGAAAATGAACATTCGCGAAGTGAGGATAAACTTGGCCTAATTGCAATGTGACAATATGACCAAGTTATGAAAACGTGATACAAGGTTCGACTTGTTTAGCTGTCAACTGCAGTCGACTTATCGCCCGTCTACATGCAGGTCCCCGAGGCTGCCAGTACATGCCAACGGAAACATGAGGCCTGGTCATGAGAATGTGCGAAAACGTTCCCCTCAATTATTCAACAACCTATTCGTAATAGGCTCTTTGACGAGATCTTGCACAGCTAATTGTCACAACAGGACTTATTAGAACTTATTTAGTAATGACAACCATCTGATACCAAAAGTGTACAATCCCAACTATCACACACACACACACACATGAGAGGAGGGGCTTGAGACGCGATTGGCCAAAACAAAACCCCCGGACCTCGAGCCTTTCCCGATGCCCGTCGCAATGCGGACCGGACAGGTCTCGAAACCGGTCCCCAAGGGCATGGCTCTGGTGAGCGCCACTTCGAGACGCCTCTTGACATGACACGGCTTGAAACGACGCGCCGACGCTAGACGTCTGGGCGTACTTCAAACGTCCTCGCCTGGGCCAACAGGGAGCAACAAAATCAGACAACTTGACAGGTCGACATGCACACATTGACAAGCGGTGTGCGACAGACAGTCTTTACAAGCCAACGGACTACCTGACTGTCAAACAGGCAGACAACACGACAAAGGGGTTAAGGCAAGCAGACAAGCAGATAAGCACACAAACATAC